GTGGTGGGTGGGGGGGAGCTGACTACAAAGGAGCCGCTCCAGGGAGATGTTTGGGTGAGGAGCTATTCTGTGTCTGATTGTGGTGTGATCACACAAATCTACATACGCATAGGGGAAAAAAGGGGCAATTTAACCGTGTGAATTAAAAAACCCCAGCAGGGGTGAGAGGCTGGACTGGACTGGGTCCCCTCTGTCCCACCGCGGCTTCCAGGCCTCCCCCCTTGGCTCTGGCCGCCCTGGCTCAGGCCCTTTCGGGTCACCTGACTCCCACGATCCCTTAGCCCAGCCCAGGCACCCCATCTTCCCACTGGGGAAGGGTAGAGGTCAAAGTCTGTGGGGCCTCGGCCAGGGAGGGCTGCCGTGGGGTAGCAGGGCGGGGGACACAGGACCCAGGTCACAGGAGGACAGAGGGCTGGGGAACGGGGCTGAGAGGACAGAGGACTGGGTTGGCAGGGGGGCTGGAGGCTGGGGGACAGGGGTTCCCTGAAAGCACCTGCCCTCCCCTCCCTGTCACCAGGGCGGGTTCAGCCTTTGCCCTCCCGGTGATCCAGAGAGCTGAGATCACTGTCCCTCCCCCCAGTCGGTCCTCCCCTCCCCATTTTGCTTCTTCCCACCCCCTATCCCCTGCCTGAGGCTGCCCCTGACAGGGGCCCTGCAGGGGTTCAGGCCAGCGGGTATAATGGGGCGGTGTCGCAGGAGGACCGGGGTCACTGGACAGTAGCAGCCGCTGTGCTCTGCGCCCTCCACGCTGTCACCACTGTGGAGCCGGGACCAGTGGGCGGTGACTGGGGAGGTGGAGCAGACGGCAGGTGCCCGAAGGACGACAGATGCCCCAGCCAGAGCTTCCTTGTTGCTGCCAGTCGGCCGGCCACCAGCCCAGGTGAGGGGGATGTTCCTGTGCCGAGGCTGTCCTATCCCCAGGGGGCTGTCTCTATCCCGAGGGGGTTGGCCTGTCCCCAGGGGGCTGTCCCTGTCCCAAAGGACCATCCTGTCCCCAGGGGCCTGTCTCTGGAGCAACCTGCCCTTCCTCTTTGCTGCCCACCTGAGGGCTCAGGCTGGGGTCTGGGCTTGCTCTTCCCCTGGAGGTGTTGTGTGAGGTGGGGTCCCTGGCTGTTTGTGTCTCTGAGTTGCCCTGAGACTGGAGGTGGGATGCTGATCTGGAACACAGGCGGGTTTGGTGAAGGGCTGCGCCTCCGCTCTGCTCTGTGGGTCTCAGTCTCCCCTGACAGTGGGAGGACCCTCCCCCCCCCCAGGACAGCTGTGAGGACCACGAGCCAGTCTCCCTGAGGCGTGCTCCGGCCCTGCCCAGAGCTGGGGTGAAGCCCGTGGTGGGGCCAGCATCCCTGAGGGACACTCGGACACTCGGGTGACACAGTAGCCCCAGGGCTCAAGGTGCTCATCTTCAAAGGGGGTTCTGGGCTGTCATTGGGGCAGCGGTACCCAAGGAGGGCTGGAGCGGCCAGCACTGGGGGCAGGGTCGTCCCAGGCTGCTTGGTGACCCCCACGGGCTCTCCAGGCCCCTCCGGGGGCCCAGGACACAGACGTAGCTCCCCCACTGCCCCGGCTTCTGTGGCCCCACACAGGCCCAAGCCGAGGGGGTAGATGCCGCTGGGCCCCACTGCCAACTGCATTCCTGGGCCCACCTCAGCCAGCAGCAGAGCGCCTGTCTTGGGCCAACAGAAAAGTTTCAGAATCAGATTAGAGAAAACCAAGGTCTAAGTTTTCAAACAGAAACCAGATTTCTTTGTTCATAATCCCCTGTGCGAAGTTCCCTTAACTGAGATGACCTGTCTCTGGGACGCCAGCTGACCTTGCTCGTTGGGTTACACACGTGGAAGGAACAGATCTCCTGTGACCCTCCTGGCTTAATGTGACCTCGGCCAGCAGAAAGGCAGGTGGGCGGAGAGGCCAGGGGTCTGGGCCAGCTCTGCCTGAGTTCCGAGTGGGGAGACCCAAGGAGCTGGAACATGTCCTCCTCCCAACTCACCCCAAAGGGAGGCCATGAGGGGCGCAGAGGGGCCTGGAGAGGGGGTGGGGACGCTTCCTCAGATAATGTGGACGGTAGCTCTGCCCGCCCATCTGTTGGGTGTCCACAGAGTCACTGACAGCGGCATTGAAAAGGGCTATCCTAGACCCTTCCATAGTGCGTGCCACGGGCTAGCCTTGACCCAAACAAGGTAGCTGTCCCCCACAGGCCCCTCTGATGGTCTTGGGCCTTGCACCCTGTGGCTCCCCATGACCCGGGCAATGGTGGTGTCTGAGCCCCAGGGAGGTGTTCAGGGCAGCAGCGTCGAGGGACATGGGGGTGCCCTGAGCCCCTGCCTCCAGAGGGCTGAGGGAGGAGCAGCAGGTGGCATCCAGTGCACACTGCTGCCCCCCTCCGCAGGTGCCAGCCCCGCCCCCACTATGGGGCTGTCCTGGAAGAATAGGGTCCTCACTGTCCTACTGGGGGTCGCTGCTGCCTCAGGCCTCACCACACTCATTCTCTTCCTGGTGGAGGCCACCAGAATCCTCCTGCCTGCAGACAGCAAGGTGAGCTGGCTGGTCCAGAGTGGGGGTGCAGGCTGGGGTGACACCGCCTGCTCCCTCCTGATCCCTGCCACCCCCAGTTCGGGATTGTGTTCGACGCCGGCTCCTCCCACACGTCCCTCTTCGTGTACAAGTGGCCAGCAGACAAAGAGAACAACACGGGCGTGGTCAGCCAAGCCCTGGCCTGCCAGGTGGAAGGTCAGTTGGCGCCCGTGACTGCAGGCGAGGGGCTCCTATGGGGGGCGGGAGCTGTGTCGACCTAGAAGAAACAGGCTCAGTGAGGTTGAGGGGTGTGCCTAAGGTCACACAGCTCAGGTGCTGGGCTACACCTGTGTGTGCCCCACGGGGCTGCAGGGAGGCCCCTTGCTTGTCCTTCCTGCAGGCCCCTGCCCTCCAGTTCTGTTCCTTCAGCTGCCCCTCCCTCTGGACCCCTGAGGCTCCCCACCCCCACCCTGCTGGGTAGCTGCCCTCCAGGGAGGGCCCTGAGGGAGGAAGGAGGGAGGCCTGGCTGAGTGTTGGGGCTGCCTCAGCAAAGCATCCCAAGTGGGGCTTCAGATCACAGCAAAGTATCCTCTCAAGGTCCAGATCCAGGTGTCTGGGTCGAGCCCCCTCTGATGCTCTAAGGGAGGACTCTTCCTGGCCTCGGCCAGCTCCTGGTGGCCCCAGGCATCCCCTGGCTTGTGGCCGCATTGCTCCAATTGCTGCCTCCGTGGTCACATGGTGTCTTCTCTCTGTGCCTTGTTCTCTTCCGTCTCTCATAACACTTGAATTAGGGCCCCCCGGTAATCCCGGATGTTCTCACCTGAGACCCTTCCTTGATCACACCCACACAGACCTTACCCCAACAGGCCCACATTCACAGGTCCCGGGCCGCCCTTCCCCCCACGGCCAGCCTTTCAGCCTGGCAACCCCGGAGCCTGGCCCCAGTCCTCTGTTTCAGGGCCAGGGATCTCCTCGTATACGTCCAACCCTGCTCTGGCCGGTGAGAGCCTGCGGGGCTGCCTGGAGGAGGCGCTGGCGCTGATCCCCAAGGCTCAGCACTGGGAGACGCCCACGTTCCTGGGGGCCACCGCCGGCATGAGGCTGCTCAGGTGAGGCGGAGGGCGCTGGCGATGACACCGAGGGGGGCGAAGTGGGGGCCGGTGGGGGCTCCGGCTCCAGCCACCCCGACCCCCTGTGCTCTGTCCAGCCAGAAGAACGGCTCTCAGGCCGAGCGCATCTTCGCAGAGGTCGCCCGGGTCCTACGCCAGTCCCCCGTGGACTTTCGGAGCGCGGCGCTCCTGACGGGGCTGGAGGAAGGCGCCTTTGCCTGGATTACCATCAACTACGCGCTGGGCATGCTGCTAACGGTGCCCGGGCAGCCGAAGGACGGGGCGGGGTCCGAGGGGTGGGGCAGGGTCCCCAGGGCGCTACCCCGAGGGCTAGGTTGAGGTCCAAGGGGCGGGGTGGAGTCCTGAGGGCCGGGTGGGGACCCAGGGATGGGGCAGGCGTCAGCGGGGAGCGAGCCTGAAGAGCAAGGCTAAGCTCTGAGGGGCAGGGCGGGTCCCAGGGCAGGGCAGACGGTGGGGTGAGACCCGTGTCAGGGCTGGTGGACAGGGCCTGGGGTCACCGCGTCTGAGTGGGCCCTGTCTGTGGTCAGTACACCTTCTCCGGAGAATGGGCCCGGCCCCCCGAGGCGACGTTGGTGGGCGCCCTGGACATGGGCGGGGCCTCCACGCAGCTCTCCTTTGTCCCCGGAGGCCCCATCCTGGACCCCAGCACGCAGGCCTCCGTCCTCCTCTACGGCTCCAGCTACAACGTCTACACACACAGCTACCTGTGCTTCGGGCGGGACCAGGTGCTGAGCCGCCTCCTGGCCCGGCTGGTGCAGGTCAGGCCCACGAGGGCAGGGCGGTGCGGTGGGCCGCGGCTCCCCGAGGTGCTCAGGCTCTCTCCTCACAGGGCAGCTCGTCGGGCCTGGTCCGTCATCCCTGCTACCACAGCGGCTACCAGGCCACACTGCCCCTGGCGCCCCTGTTCGAGTCGCCCTGTGTCGGGACCTCGGCTCCCGCTGGCACCGCCCAGAACCTCACGATTGAGGGCGCGGGGAACCCCGGGGCCTGCGTCTCTGCCATCCGGGAGCTCTTCAACTTCTCCAGCTGTGAGGGCCGAGCAGACTGCGCCTTTGACGGGGTCTACCAGCCCCCCGTGCGGGGCCAGTTCTACGTGAGCGCCCGTACTACCCTCAGCCCCGCCCCCTTCCTCCGCTGGGACCTGGGACCCCGGGTCGGGTGGGGTCCCCGCTGGCCCGTGGGCCTGCTGGCTGCCCCACCTAGAGCAGGGCTTCCACCCCCAGGCCTTCTCCAACTTCTACTATACCTTCCGCTTCCTGAACCTCACCTCGGGACAGCCCCTGGACACGGTCAACGCCACCGTCTGGGAGTTCTGCCTGCGGCCCTGGAAGCTGGTGAGTGGCCAGGGCCGCGCCTACCTGGCCCCCTCTGGCCCCTGGGCTTTAGCTGTGGGCAGATGGGGCTCAGAGGGCCCCCCCAGGCGCCAGGCACGACCAGGCAGGGGCATCACAGAGGGAGGGCTCCAGCCCCTCTGGGCAGTGTGGCCACAGGGTTCAGGGGAGCCCTGGGGAGGGACAAAAGTCATGGCAGCCTTCCTCTGGCAGAAGCCCACTGTCTCGTCGGCTGTGAGGAGGGGGCCGCACCAGCCTCCTCTTGGCAGATCCCAGGAGTCCCCAGCACAGCTGGGAAGAGCTCTCTGCCAACTGCCCAGACCCCCGACCCCTCCTCCTGTTGTCCAGTCTCAGTCTGGCCTGCTAGTGGGGGCCGCCCATCACTGGGACAGGGTGCTGTTAGGGGTCCTGGGCCCACCGTCAGGAGGGGTGGAGCCCTCCACCCCTGACGCCTCTGCCTCTCGGGCCCCAGGTGGAGGTGAGCTATCCCGAGCAGGCCCCCTGGCTTCGAGACTACTGCGCCTCTGGGCTATACATCCTCACACTCCTGCTTGAGGGCTATGGCTTCAGCGAAGAGACCTGGCCCAGCATCAATTTCCGCATGCAGGTGACAGGGACCCCACCCGGCGTGCCTGCAGCGAGTGGGGGCCTGGGGCTGCGCCCTGCAGCCCTGACCAAGTGCTTGTCCACAGGCGGGCGGGACCGACATCGGCTGGACGCTGGGCTACATGCTGAACCTGACCAACATGATCCCGGCCAAGGCGCCCATCACGAAGCAGGCGGAGAGCTACGGCGTCTGGATGGCCACCATTGTCCTTGTGGCGCTGACGCTTGGGGCCATTCTTGGGGCTGTTGCCGTCCAGCTCCTCTGGCCCTGGAACTAGGGCCATGGTGCCTGTGATGCTGCGGGTGGAGGCCCAGCCCCGCGGCTCAGCAGGGGCTCCTTCACAGTCGAGGTCCTGCCCCGGTTGTACCTCTCGTGACCTTGCTCTGTGGGCTCTGGGCCCTCAGTCAGCTGACGGTGGACAGGGCCTCAGCATGACCTGAGCCTTCTCCAACGAAACCTGGATGCTGTCCTGCGGCATGCCCAACTGTGAGCCCACCCAGGACTGAGGAGTGCCTGTGCGGGTACACATGGTGCCAGAGCTGCTCAGAGACGAGACGGGTGGACCCAGCCCCAGTCCCGAGTGCCCATCCATGTTCTCTGCCCTGGTCCGTGGGTGCTCGCGCGCGTTCTCGTCACTGCTTCATGAGTGCCCGCTGTTCTCGGCCCTGCTCTGTGAATGTGCCAGGCACTACTCCAGGACACGGCAGTGACCAGGACTCAGGAGGCTGGGATCTTGCGTGGGGACACAGATGCCATACAGATCTCCCAATAAAACCCAGACTCGGTGTGTGGTGGTGGTGCCGTGTGCTGGGGCAGAGGTGGGAGGAGGCAGGTGGGTGTACCCTGCAGAGCCGTAGACAGAGACCAAGGGGCTGCCCTTCCAGTGCTGCCCTTCCATGCCCACGAGGCTGTGGGCAGACATGGGTGGGAAGAGGGCCTTGCCCCCATCCTGGAGGCGTCCTGCACCCAGAACCTCAGCAGCAGGAAGTCAGCAGGGGTGGGCTGTGGGTGGCCCACAGGGTGGTGACTCTCGGGTCTGCCTGTAGGAAGGTGGTGGGGAAAGCATTCTAGGTGGAGCAGCCTGTGCAGAGGCCCTGAGACAGGAGGGACAGGTGAGGGGCAGTGTGACTGGAACAGAGTGGGGGGCACATGGCCAGGAAGGGGCCAGAGTATGTGGGGCTGCGGCTGACCTGTGACTACCCTGTTGCTTTGCTGCTGCATTGGGGGAGGGGTTAGAAGTGGAGGCCAGAGGACAAGAAGGGACTGTTGCAGCCCCTCAGCCACCTCCCAGACACCCCTCAGTCCCTCTCTGGCCTCACAGTCACTCTGGCCACAGAGGCTGCTGTGGCCTCCCTAGGCGTCAAGGCTGTGTGACTGCAGCGTCAGTGGAACGTGAGGCCTGGGCTGAAACCTGGGAAGTGGGGGTGACTGCTGGGAAGAAGGGGCCTGGCAGCGGGGGAGGGGCTGGAGGGGCTGGCCCTGTCCCTCCTATGGTCTGAGGACGCACTGGCATGGTGGGCACCTCTCCCAAGCTGCGGTCAGGCCCCTCTCAGTCGCCAAGTACGGCACGTGGACCACTCGGGGAGGGGGCAGGTGGCCTTTATTAAAACCCTCCTGCACAGGTCTCCTCAGGGCGTGCCCCCTGCGGGGCTGGGCGCTGGGGCGGCTGGGGGCCCAGGAGGCTGGACTTGGCGGCAGGAGGCTGTGCAGGTGGTTCTGCTCACATGCCAGCTCAGGCCACAGAGCACGTGGGGAAAACGCCAAGGCACCGGCACGATAGCCCTCCAGCCACACCTCATCCACTGCGGAGGGGGCGGGGGGGGGGGCGGTGGTTCAGGACATCGCAGGACCTCTACTCGCCTGCGCCAGCTCTGTACCCTAGGCGGCTGCCTGAGCCCAGCAGCCCCTGCAGCCCCTCAGCTGTGCCTGGGCCAGCTTGAGGTCCAACATGGATTGCTGGAACCTGCGGGCAGCTGAGACCAGTCCCCTTGGGGTGGCAGGGACCCAGGCGGTGCCCAGCCATGCCCCGCCCCCACTCTGGCTTGGGATGCCTGCAGGTGGGCAGTGCTGGTCACCCAGCTCAGCCTTAGCAAGGGCGGGCACTTGGATCCTGGGAGTGAGGCACTGTGTCAATGCACAAAACTGGCTGTGTCGGCACAGGAGGGGTGTGCCCTGGGGTCTGGAGGGTGGGGAACACCCTGAACCTAAATGGCTGGTTGAATTCATTGCCTAGGTCTGACTCAGCTTCCTGCACACTGGCTTCCTTTCTCCTAGGCACCTTGCCCACCCCTGCTGGGCGCATGGACACCCCAGACCCTCCTTCCAAACCAAGGCTTCTAACTGGTTCTTTCCTGTTGAAACCCCTGATGAGAATTTGCATTTCTAACAAGTTCCCTGCTGAGAATTTGAATTTCTAACAAGTTCCCAGGAAGTTATACATAAGAATCACCTGGGGATCTTGTTAAACTGTAGATTCCAATTCAGTATATCTGGGGTGGAAACGCAAATTCTCAGCAGGGAATTTGTTAGAAATGCAAATTCTCAGCAGGAGTTGGAACCCACCGAACAGGAGTCCTGCACGGCTGTGCAGCATTGTGGTGTGAAAATGTGGTGGGGGCGTCAGACCTCTTCTGACTTCAGGGGGAGGGAGAGAATCAAAATCCAAGCACAGCCCAAGGTCGATGATCCCCATGAGGTGGTGGTCAGACATACCTCCACCCTCCAACTCTTTTTACCAATCCTGACACCAGCATCCCTCCCACAGCACTCTCTACTTCTCTGCTGGGTTTAATAATTCATCACAATGGCCACACAGAACTCACAGACAATATTCATGATTATGGGGTTTATTAGGGAAGTAACAGGTTCAGGAACACTCAGGATATAGTTCTTCTATTAGGACAGCCATTTCCCAGCTGTGCCCACAGGCAGGCCTCTCTCTGGTCCCTCAGCCTCTGCCCTGCTTGGGCAAATGTTACAAGGCTCTTTTAGCTCTGCCTATAAGTGCCTGGAGACACCCTGCTCCACCAGTAAGCCTCAGCCGGAAGGCGGTCAGCTCTGGCTCTGTGGATCAGCAAACCTAGCTCCACCAAGTGCCGGGAGGCACCCTACTCTGCCAACAAGCCTGCTGCCCGAAGGCATTCAGCTCTTTTGCTCCATGGGCCAGGAAGCCCACCATGCCGTCTCCTGCCAGCCTCTCCTACCGCTGTTTCTCTGCCACTACTTCTTGCTGTTTTCAGTGTTACAGTTCTGTCTTTCTCTCTCAGTCTCCCGGTTCCAGGAGCTTCTCAGCGCAGGGATCCTGGGTCCAAAAGACACGCTGTGCTCCTGGCTCTTCTTCCTTGATGGTGGTGAGATCCTCTCCCACCCCTGGGATGGCTCATTTTAAGCCTAGCAGGATGGCAAAATCGACCAATCCCTTTGGTGGGCCACAATTACCTTATTTTCACAGGCCCGTCCAATCACTTGGGTGGGAGTTACAAGACCGTGGTGAGAAAGGTCAACGGAAGTCATCCATCACACCGCAGCCGTGCAGAGAGGGGTGCCAATGTGGGGTGGCTGCTCTCTGTGGGTGAAATCCAACTGTTTGCCACCCCCAAAGCAGCCAAATAAAATATTATACCCAGTTCATGCCAACAAACCACAGTGCTGGATACGCCACACCTCTCCTCACCCTCAAGCAATCTTAACGGTGGCAGGGGTTCTGTCTGCCTTCACAATCTCCATATTCCCATCTAATCTGTTTATGCCAGTATTTAATTCTATTGACTTTGGGTCCTACCCACTCTTTTCCTATTGTGGTAGAGGAGAATTTAACGCTCTTGCCATGCACCCTTTGTCCCTTCCCTCCATTTAAATCACAATTGCCTTAAATGTGAGTCACAGTTGAAACATGTGGTATAGGATGATTATATCCCCTTTCTCCTGTAACCCTTTAAAATGGAGACTTCTAGTGAAATGACTAGATTTATATGCAGTAGTAAGAAATACCAGATCTGTGTACACTTTACCTAGTTTTCCCCAATGGTAACATTCTTGCAAAACTATAGTTCAGTATCACAACCAGGATACTGACATTGATTCTCTGCTATAACTGTTCACTCTTTGTCTCTCTTCCTCTCTCCCTCCCACCTCCCTCTCATTTGCTTCATTTCCCAGGTAGTTGTCCCTGGATTCTCTGAACTTCGCTATGTAAGGACCTGGTTGTTTCTGTGGGGGACTCGGGGGCGGGGGCCGTGACGGAATGCTCCCTGTGGAACATGTCTGACTTTGAAGAAAAGAAGATCTTTAAAAACGTGGGGACAGGCGCATGTGCCTTTGTGCCCCTCCTGGGCAATTAGCTGCTTTTTGGGAAGAGGCTGGCAAACAGGTCAGCGCTCGTGTCAGGGATTTGGACACCTCTGCCCTTGAGTCCCTGCTCACAGCTGGATCCAGCCTCTGCCTGTTCCAGGTATGTCCCCATCTTTGGCCGTTCAGTCCTGGCCTGTCCATCTCTGCCTCTGGGACCCCAGAGGCACATGGTAGGCGACGGGGGAGGCAGTGAGGGAGCACTGTGACCACCATGTGGCCCCAGCTCAGCTCCTGGTGGGGCCCCAGCCTGACAGCTCCCACCCCACCTCAGGTACTCGCTGAGGCGAGACACCAGAGGGACAACCCCAGGTGACTGTCGGGGAGGGAGGGCAGGGGCTCTGGGCTTCACCTCTGCAGCCGAGTCTTTGTTGGCTACCCCTCATTGACCCTACCGCAGGGTAAGGAGGACAGCGTCCCAGAACTGGGACAGAGGGCGGTGACTAAGGCTGAAGAATAGCCTCGCTCGGGGATGAGGTCTCTGCGCCCAGTCCCGGGGGCGCCCCGGCAGCCAAGTCCCCTGGCTCACCCGCAGCGCGGGCTCCGGTCCCGGCCAGCAGGTGTACGCAGTCCACGTTAAAGCACATCCTGGCAGGCGGCTCTGGGAAACGCGAGGGGAGGCGCAGGGCGCGGCGCGGCGCAGGTCCCCACGCTCCACGGCCTACGCGCCCCGGTGCCAGCTGCGCACCAGGTCCCCGAGCGAGGCCACGGCAGTGCGAAACCCGCCCGGCCGCGCAGCGGGAGGTGAGGGCGGCAGTGGGGTCCTGGGAGGGTCCAAGGGGTGATGGTGGTGGTGGGGTGGCCTAGTGCCGCGGAGTAGGGGGCTTCAGGGTTCGGAGAGCGATGTGGGGCCGTGGGACCTCTTCAAGAGGGAAAGTCAGAAGCAGGGGCCAGGGGCGCTGGGCTTTTTGGGGGCGGTGCCGGAAAGCG